GGGAAATGCAAATCAAGACAACTTTAAGATACCATCTTACACCTGTCAGAATGGCTAAAATCAAAAACACCAATGATAGCCTTTGCTGGAGAGGTTGTGGAGAAAGGGGTACACTCATCCATTGCTGGTGGGAATGCAAACTTGTGCAACCACTCTGGAAAGCAGTGTGGAGGTTTCTCAGGAAATTCGGGATCAACCTACCCCTGGACCCAGCAATACCACTCTTGGGAATATACCCAAGAGAGGCCTTATCATACAACAAAAGTATATGCTCTACTATGTTTATAGCAGCATTGTTTGTAATATCCCAAGGTTTTAAATTCATCCATATCCCTACTCCAAACTAGTTAAAAACACTCAGTGTCAGGATTCTTGGTCTCTCTGGGAAAAAGTAGTCACTCTCCATTTCAAAGACCCCTTATGGACCAGATTCCTGTCACATAACAAAGGTGACACAAAAAATTCACAAATTTTAATCTGCACAGCTTTTATTACCAAACAGCCTAACATTTTTCTCATACTTTGTCCTAAAAAAAAAAATCTACTTGTTAATTTTTACAGGAGTTCTTCACAATGAATTATTTGTATAACTGAGGTACAATTGTCACACTTCTCCATTGGACCTTTTTTTTTTTACTTACTCACATCCTTTCTAGAAATAATTTCACTATATTCTGACTGGTTTTCCACTTTACTATATGGATTATGTCAATGAAATTTGATGGGATTTATGGATGATATTCTCTTGTATTTTTGAGCCAATGATTTGTAGTTTTAATCTTGATTGTAACTGCTAATGAAATAATACTCTCAACTCCAATAAGGTGGTGTCTCTTTGATTATTTAGCAATAGTGGGAGTTCAGACCTCCTATATAGCACTGCTTATTAAAGTAGCACATGCAGTTTTAATAACAAGGCATACAGTTGTGGTATCAAAATAATAGAATCATAGCTTTATAAATCCCTTCCCAGGAACTCCCAGGCTATTTCATAAATGACCTGAGAACTTTCATCCCTGCACCCAATAATTTACCAGCTCCTGGTAAAACAATAAGGAACACATTGCCCACTGTGTCAAGAATTTGTGCAAACAGTGAGGATTTCTCTTTAGTTCTCTCGATCTCATCTCTCAGATGACTTATTTCATTCCTTAACATTTCAGACTTCTTTTTAAATCCTTCAACAAGAAATTCTTCTTGGATCTGTAAAAAGAAAAATCTTCCATTACTCACATGCAGAATTTTGCATTTAACTTTAATTTACTTACACTATCTATTTCACTACCACCTAAGGAGGGTCTTTGATATTTTAAGACATTTATACCTAAAAAGAAGAATATCCTCAGTTTACACATATTTAGGGAGAATTTCTCAGTATCTTCCCATGGAGACTGTCCCAATACACACAAAAAAAATTTCCCTTTTGAAGAGATTGCAGAAGGCAGGTGAACTAAAACTTACTCTCAATTCTAAGGAGGTGTCACTTGGATTATTTCATGAATTATGGCTATCCTGATCTGTATAGAACACTCTAAGCTAGGACATATAGTTTATTTTACAAGACGAATCAAACAGGCATAAATAAATAGTGCAATTTATGAGATTGTGCCATGTTCTATTTTATCCTATCATTTTATTATATTTCATTTTCAATTTAATGAATTCATTTCTCTTTTTGAATGCATGTGTGAGCACATGAGTAAATGCATACAAATGTATGCGTTTGTCCGTATCTATGGAGGCCATAGGTTGATGCCGTGTATGTTCTTCAAATGCTTCCTCCTTATTTTTTATTAAATGTATTTTTTTCATTACATGTTTGAATATTTCGCTTACATGTATATGTACCATGTGTGTGCCTACTGCCCATGGATATCAAAACAGCATATCAGATCCCCTGGAATTCTAATTCTGGACAATATAAGGTGCCATGTGATTGATGGAAACTAAACCTGGGTCCTCAGCAGGAACAATAAATGCTCTGAGCCAACTCTACAGCCTCATTTTAAAGATAAAATCTCTCCTTAATTCTATAGCTAGTTGATTCTCAGGGCTGGCTAACTAGAAAGCTCAGGGGTCCTCCTATCTTTTTCCTGAAGGTCACTGATAAATGTCACGTCTTCTAGGTTTTTTTCATGGATTCTGAAGATATGAATTAGTTCCTCATACATGTACAAGGAGAACTTCAGTGACTGAGCCATCTCCCCATCCCATCCTCCTCTTCTGTTTTATACTGGGCTAAAACGATATTGTCTGAGGTTTACTGTCCTGCCCTGTTCCCACAATTGTTAAGACCCAAAACAATCACACAGAGGTATATATTAATGATAAACTGATTGGCCCCTTAGCTCGGGCTTCTTATTAACTCTTATAACTTATGTTAACCCATTATTCTTATCTATGTTAGCCACATGATTTGGTACCTTTTTCAGTGGGGCAGATCACATCTTCCTTCTACTGTGGCTGGGCAGGACTGGAGAGGAATGGGCTTCCTCCTTCCCAGACTTATCCTCTTCTCATTGACCTGCCTCTACTTCCTGTCTGGTTGTCCTGCCTATATTTCCTGCCTGGATACTGGCCAATCAGCTTTTATTTAAAATACAATTGACAGAATATAAATATTGTCCCGCACCACAACTGATATATTCACACTAGATGGATCCACCTCATTTTCTTTGAAGAATAAGCCTAGAATCCTAAAGACTATTGGAAAGGGTCAACTGCAGCCCAAGTAGACCATCCTAGAATTTCAACAAACAGCAACTCAGAACCCTGGGGATATTATTTATATACTTGAAGTCTAACCCTACACAGATACTGGCATCTTATGTGCTCAGAGCTTCAGTAAGGCCCATGTGAATTTTGATGCAAGATTAACAGTTAAAGTTACAGTTTGAGACTGACAGTTCCCTAGTTGGGAAGTCACAACACTATCTGGCACTGACAAACCCCATCTGCACTCACCTTCAGCTTGTGCTCTAGCATCTTCTCCTGCTCACTCAGAAGAGTCTCCCTTTCCTTCTCCATCTTCTCTTGAAGTTTAGCAATGTTTTCTTGGAAGCTTCTCTCTTGAGCTTTCATCAGTTGCTCTTGCTCCTCCTGTTTCTGTCTCAGCAGCTCTTGTTCCTTCTCAGCCACCTCCTTCTTTGTCCTCTCAGCTGTTCCACGGATGTTCGAGAGAGGAAAGAAATCACAGTCAAAGTGTAGCTATACTATCCAGGGCTCAAAGGGAACCATGTGAGTACTCCCATTAGCCAGGCCAGGAGCATCATGGTTCCTAACATGTTGGAAAGGCACCAATTAACTGGACACAAAATACAACACCAACACCCTATGTGTTTGTACATCTAGGAGATGTCAAACACCCAGCAGGAGGAAGTGCCTTATTCCAGAAGGATCTACCTCTCCACCAGTCAGAGGGCTTTGCATAAAACACCCTCCTCTCTAACAGTTGGACACTCTACCCTACCTGCTATGGCCTTCTGTCCATCTGTAAGGGCTTTGTCTGATTGCAGGATGGAGTTCTCTATAGTACCCTGTGACTGTAGGAAGCTCTTGAGAACCTCATTTGCCTGGGGACCCAAGAAGAGAAAATACAATTTAGGCAGTAAAGATTAAGTCTTCTGCTGAGGTACTTATTGATAAATAAAACTCCTAATTTTTTGAGTCTTGTCTCACAAGGTCCATTTAATTCCATTGCCATAATGAAAGTACAAGCTTTTTCAGATTCAAAAACCCTCTGCCTCAGCCTCCTTACTAGCTTCACTGCCTCTCTTCCCAGAAATGCTTCCTACCAGCTGCCCTAATTTACAGTTCCAACCACAGTTACAAAGCAGTTTCATGCAGTTCCACAGACGCACAGTTTCCATTGGTTACCATGTTTGAAATATTTTGTCTCCTACCTTCATGGGTATTCCAGACTTTACAGCTAAGACAACATATACAGAAATGTCACTTTCTATCTTAGAATGCTTAGCCTGGTATTTCTGGAAGCATTCTTAGTTTTCTTTTTATACGGCTTTATTATGGTATTAAGACACACAAAGTTTTAATGCATTATGTGTATTAAGGAGGCTGCTTGTTGGTCCCGCCTGCCAAGAACTGAAATACAGAAACTGTATTAATTACATTACTGCTTGGCCTATTAGCTCTAACTTCCTATTGGCTAGCTTATACATCTTAATTTAACTCATTTCCATTATTTTATATTTTACCACGAGGCTCATGGCCTACCAGCAAGGTTTCAGCATTTCTGTCTCTGACAGAGGCTCTATGGTTTCTCTCTAACTCCGCCTTCCTTCTTTCTCCAAGCATTCAGTTTAGTTTTCTCCACTAAGCTCTACTCTACCCTATCAGGCCAAGCCAGTTTCCTTATTAACCAATGATATTCAGCATCCAGAATGGAATCCCACATCAATTATATATTAAGTAATTATTATAGTTGAAAAAAAGTATATACCAATTGCCTCAAATAATTACCTTTGTGTTGTAATAACACTTGAAATCAACATTTTTAGCTTTTAGATATATATCAGATTATTCTATGCATACTCACTATTTGTCTTTCTAAACAATATGTCTTATAGTTATATGTTCCTATGTCTTGATGAATGTCTCACTATTTTCTTTATTTTTAGTCACAGTAATCACCATTGTACTCTGTGTTAATGTGGCAGTTTCAATAAGAATGGGTCCCATAGGCTCATATATTTAAATGAATGGTCCCCAGTTGGTACTACTATTTGGGAAGGATTAGGAAGTGTGGCCTTGTTGGATAAAGTATGTCATTGGGGCTGAGCTTTGAGATTACAAAAGTCCACACCAGTCCCAGTCTCTTTCTCTGCCTATTCCTTGTGCACAGAATGTGAAGTTCTCAGCTCCAGTGCCATGCCTGTCTGCTTCCCACCATGATGACTATGTGTTACTCCTCCAAACTGTCCTAAGTACCACATTGGGCTGCCATAAGTCGTGAACCATCTTTTTGGGGTAACTTTTGCCACAATCCTAGGTGCAGCAGGTTTGTATGTTCCAGGTTAGGGGCATGAGAATTAGAAATGTTAGGTAAGAGGAACAGAGAAGAAAAAAAAAAACAGAGAGATGCAGGATAGTATAGAAAGACAACTCAGCAATACTGAATGATGAATTTTGAGTGCTGAGTTTGTCCACATTTGTTTTCATACACTTTTATGCCCTGATACAAAATGGGGGAAGAAGGCAGAAGACTGCTTTAACGTGATACAAAGGAAAACATGTACTGTTACTGGTTTCAATACGTTAGACATTGAGCTATTATTTCCTGAGGAAAGTATTGGATGTTTGGGGAAATATACACAGCATAGACCAAGTGTTCTGTAGGCAGCCACTCCCTAAGTCAACCTCCTATTTCAAAAGAGGAAGTAGAAGTATGCATGAATTCTATGACCTTAGGTTAGGGTGGAGCAGATCTACTTCTATGGGCCATCCTAATGTCCAAAACCTTCAGACAAGGTAGAATAGGCTCACATTTTTGGGTCTACACACAAAACTATAAGCAAGGCCCCTGTGAATACTTTCCTTTATAAGACTAGCCTTGGTCATAGTACCTCTTCAAGGCCTTAGAACAGCAATAACACAGTTAATATTAGTTTATCCTTTTTTGTTGTTCTCTCTCTCTCTCTCTCTCTCTCTCTCTCTCTCTCTCTCTCTCTCTATGATGCCATTGAAAGTGAGCCCCAACATGCAGCATTTGTTTTCCTGTGCGTGGTTTATTTGCATGAATATACTTTCTTCTAGATCCATTCATATTTTCATACTTGTGAGCATTTTTAAGGCTGAATAGTGATTCATCATATGGATATGAAATAGATAGCATATAGAGTATAGACAGACAGACAGATAGATAGATAATAGATAGATAGACATGCTAAGTAGACAAAATAATATAATGTACTTTTATAAGTAAGTACTAAAAACAACATGGTCCTTGCATAAAAACAGATATATAAACCAATATAAGACAACTGAGAGAGACAAGACATAATGAAATTACATCTCTGTATTATATTTTCCACCTAAAAGAACTAAAAATGGATTAAACCTAAGACCTGGTATTTTAAAATTCTTAAAACATGGGGATAGATGAAAAAATATTTGAATAAAAGTTGGGGGGAGCCATATTGCATTGGATTCATGATGGTATTTTAGATTTAGTACCAAAATCATAGACAAATAGATAAGTGAGACTATAGCCAACCATAAACTTCCTGTACAGTAAAGGAAGCACTTGATCAAATCAAAGAGGACATATCAAATGAGAGAAAAAGTTTGAAAGCCATACTGGTAAGGAGTTAAAATATGAAGACAATGAAGAACTCAAATAATACAATAGGGAAAACTAGCATGCTTGAAATAACATGCAATTGCCCTGAATTATAATTTTCAAAATAAGAAATTCAAATGGCCAACAAGCATTTGTACTCAGTTTTATTAATCCTTCATGAAATAAACTAAAACCACACTGAGGTGTCGTCTCACTCTTGTGGCCATGCTTATTATAATAAGCTCAGACATTTTGATTGAGTTGCCAAAAAACTTTGTAGATCTCTTAGTGAAATGAAAACTGATTACAATCATTATACATAACAAAATAAAGATTCCTCAAAAAAAAAAAAAAACAGGATTCTGGGATTCTGATAGCTGATCTGCCAAATCTATCGATGAATGGTAGTGTGGACGTAGGCAATGTGTTAGGGCACTGGCACATTACACTTGTCCAGTGCATGAGAGAGAGAAACACAGCTACTTAGTTTACATATTCTGATATATATAAATTGGAAAATCTAGCCAAGTCACCCTGAAATGATTCTCGTGCCAGAACTGAATGCTCAGGGTCTGCCAACCATGAGCTTGTCTTCACCTTGATTAATGACACCAGTACCTAGTAGCTACCACTCCAGCTGAACTCCGTAAGCCATTGTTTCTGTCATTTCTCACCTTTACTCCCTTCCGGGGCACTCGCTCATAGTTCTGCTCCACCTCCTTCCTGGCCTCTATGTAGAGACTGTGTCCGCCAGGAACAGAGAAAGCTCCACTTGAGACACTCTTCCTCAGGGACGCTGCAAGCTTGTCCAGCTCAGCCTGGCAGTGACTGACAGATGCCGTTTCATTCTGTTGCATGAAAGCTTCCTTCCTTTCTTCTATGACAGCCTGCAGGGTAAGAGGGAAGGAAGAACAAAGCTGTTACAAGTAAGGTGTGGTGGTTTGAAAAAAAAAAAAAACTGGCCATAGGGAGTGGCACTAATAGGAGGTGTGACTTGTTGGAACAGATATGGCATTGTCAGAGGAAGTATATCACTATGGAAGTGGGCTTTGGGGTCTCTGGCGCTCAAGACACGCCCAATATCACAGTTCACTTCCTGTTTCCTGTAGATGAAGATGTAGAACCCTCTGCTGTTTTTCCAGGATCATGTCTTCCTGCATGCTACCATGCCTCGCACCATGATGATAATGAACTAAACCTCTGAAACTGTGGGGAACCCTCAATTAAATGTTTTCCTTTATGAGAGCTGCTGTGATCATGGTCTCTCTTCACAGCAATACAAACCCTAAGAGAGAAGGTCCTACTGTGATTTTCTGAATGAACCAATGAGACGGCCCCAGAGTGGACTGGGAAAAGAGGAGGGTCAGGAATCCCAACCTAGTTAATTCTGTGTGTTAATTTCTGGAAAGTCTGCCAGCTTCCTTGGGTTCATACCCAGCAGCTGTTAAATCTAGTTGGAAGACATAAGACTATTCCCTCTGAAAATGGAGGTTGATGTAGCTGAAAAACCAATTCTTCAGAGTTGAGATAACTGTACTCTTAGAAGAGTTTTGAACCCTCATGAATTCTTTCAGTGATAACTTGAGTGTCGGTATGCCAGAACATGTGTGTTTGTTTCTTTACGTGTTTGTTTGTGCTCATAAGTGATAATCCTAATTAATTTCCTCAATACGAACTAAAAGACTTTTGTCTTTCAAGGTTCAATGTCAGATAGATGGAAGACCAGAAACTCTCAGGGAAGCTGCTTTTGGTCTGATAGGTCATGGTAATCCCCTGAGAGTTGTTTTTTGGCATCAATGCTTTTATCAGCCTGGACTGGTGACTGTGCTGGGTAGTAATCCTATGGTGACATTATATTACATAACACAAAGGAGATCTAGCCACCCAAGCCCTTCAGAATTTAAGTTTTGACTGTTTGTGGCTGGAAAAGAAATCAGAACAACTAGAAAAATAGAATGCAGTGATTCTTTGTGCTTTGCTAAGGGAAAAAGCTTTGGCCCAAACCTATAGATCAGTGTTCAATCAATCAGACAGCACATTTTCTATTTTCAGTGAACCAAGCAGAGACCCACATACTCTTGCTTCACCTCTCTTTTGAACTTTGAGATAACAAAATGCATGCTGTTTTAAGGTACTAAGTACATGATATCTTGTTTCATAGCAATAAAAATAATAAAATGTTATTGCTTCAAGAAAGGGAAAAGTCTAATACAAAGAGTTAAGTTTTCCATAAAAATTTCAATGAGAAAGATTCAGAGCTTGAGATTTAAAGAAGTGGAATCTAAGGGTTGTATCAGAAGGGCAAGGATCAGGCAAGCTAAGTGCTAAGATGTGTTACCACCAGTTTCCTCTGGAACTCTTGCTCATCGTCCTTGAAGGAGTGCTCCATGAAAACAGCAATGGCTTTCTTCTCACAGTCTGCATGTACATCCAGAAGCTCTTGGAGAGTGTCTGTTGGGAGCCGCAGTTGCTGGGCCATCTGCTCACTGTAATGGTCAGCTGCCTTCTGCACAGCTGCTGAGTTTTCACGCTGAGCCAGGGTCATCACTGCATTCTCCAAGCAAGGCACAGTCCCACTATTGATGGCATCCAAGTAGGTCTTCACCAGAGTCCCCAGTCCTAAGAAAAATATCGTTAAGAACTGGTCCATTCTCACTAACTGTTATTTATAAGTTTTAGGCCTAATGTTATCGAAAGCAACAAAATTCTATTCAACGTGAATTTCTCTTCTCTTCTAACCTCTTCCGTATCTTTCGTTCTCTTTTCATGGCCTCTCAGAATCAATAGCTATTTAATAAAACTGACTTCTTTCCTTTGCAGTTTCCAAATTCAATACACGAAAAATAATCACTGATTATAAGAGGTTTCAAGACTTTTTTGGAGGGAAAAAAAATACAGTACCAAATAATTAAAAGAAGAGTGTGTTAGAATAAGAAAGCAAATTTCTTTTGTGAGATCAAGTTGCAAATGAAAATTCAAGTCCCTTCAGAAAAAAAAAAGTCAAAAGTTTGAAGACAGAATACAGAACATGAAACCAAGTATGAACCCATTTGAGCAGAGACAAAACATGGTTACACAGGCAGAATGTCTATGGCGCTTAGAATGTTTAAACTTGTTTTTCTAATTGAATGGGACCCTTGACCTGCTGTGTTCCGGCCAGTGTCAGCCCCAAAGTAATCTGTATAGTCAAACTGAGCCACTCTTCCAGGGGGACTCTAAGTCATCTTGCAAATTTCTGTCCACTCATCTGGACATCTTTATGGTATTACCTGTGTAACACAAGCTAGGCTTCAATAAACACTCATATTCAGAAAGTTCAAGAACGAAACTCATATGTGTGATCTGAACATTTGTTTCCTCCATATTCCTTTATATATGCATACAAATGTTTCAAGACCACAAAAGAATCATCACTTCATTGAATATTCTAAGCCACAGGGACGTGCCTGCTACAAAAGAAACTCACGGTTTCCTGTGACAGTAATCCCGCCTCTCAGCGTCTTGGTCTTTGCATTGGTGAAGATGTAGGAACAGAACTTTTTTGATTCCACCTGGAAATTCCATTCCAGTTCGTTTTCTGGAACTTTTTCAATATGAGATAGTAAACTTTTGTCCCTTATAGGCCGGTCAAAGACAAAGCACCTCCGTACTGGAAAGAAATATCTGATACATTCTCTAGTCGTGTTGGACTTTTGGATTTGGGGATTGTTTCCTGTAAAAGAGGGGGGCACTCAGTGATGGGGCAGCTGGAAGGTAAGATGATTAAAGACTTTCCGAGAATGTTTTCCAGGATGCAGCTCCAGGTCATCTGAATGACTGTGCCAACAGCTCTAAAGTAACGAGTGCATTTGGAGACCTTACTACTTTGTCATTACATTGGACTTGACATTATTTTCCAGGGAATCTCGATGAGATAAATTAGCTATTTAACATCAATATTTGTCTAGATAATAGATAAATGAATAACAATATTGATTTTAGGTACTTATCTGTCCCACTGAACATAATCCATGTAATGAATTTGCAGTGTTAACATGCCACCATATTGCATCAGGCAAGAAGGTGAAATTTCAGTGAATGATGGAGTATTGCACATTAGTGGAGACATACATCTTCTTCCCCCACCCCCATGCACTAAAAGAAATCCACGACATGGTATAACTATTTGAGCTAGTAAAATAATCAAGTGAGAAAGATTTTTTAAAATATTGTCAGTAGATTTCCCTGTAATTTTAAGATTTTTATTCACTTATTTATTTGATGAACCAGGTTTTCTCAAAGTAGGCTATGAAAAACAATTATATTAACAAATAAATAAGGCTCAGGAAGTAGTCGCCTTGACCGTAATCCTTACCTATTTTTGTTTCTGTTTTAAATTGTAATACTAAAAGTACTTAATATGATATATTCTAAGATAAAGTAAGTTTAAATCTTAATTCTGAATATTTTCAAGTAATAATGATTGCCAAAATTATGGTTACATGCCAATTGTCATGACCATTAACAAGGGTTTCAGTGCAATCTAGAGATGTCAAGTGCTGAGCAGCGTTTAGTGAAGTCTACATCCCTGTTGAAACTTTCTTTACACAGTGATACCTTGGATCAGCTTCAGGGCATTCTCCAGGTACTCATCCGCTGTGATGACGCGTCCATCTAACTTCAGCTCCAGAGTGAAATCCCGAACAGTCCAGACAAAGTCCGGGAAGAAGCTCACAAACTCACTGGAGTCCTTTACTTCATCCTCCCTGGGACTGGCCTTTGCCCGGATTAGCTGTGTTAATTCAGTCACATAACTGGAATTGTAGCTAAGGATATGAAACAAAATACCTTCTGGATATCATGTCGAGTCAGTTATTAAAACTCTTCCCCTTTGTCCTGTGTCTACTCAAAGTCAACCAAGACTTTTTGACTTGGACAAGAGAACAACAAGTAAGATGCCTTCCTGCTCTAGTTAAGGGAACGTGTTAGTTTGGTCCCTGGAAGGATACTGCAGCTGCTCCAGGGCCTGGTGGTTGATGGTGCTCATGCTGTTGTAGACAAAGGTGCTGCTTAAAAGCACAGCCAGGGCAAAGATCCATGAGTCATTCTTAGGGTCACCCTAGAGGACACATAAGGACATGGGTAATTAAGAGTATAATATTCATTCATTCATTCATCCAAATGTTCCTTCATACGTTCAGATATATTATTAGTGGATCTGAGAGAAATAACAAAATTTGAACACAATTCTACATCCAGTCCTCATTGCTCACACTTACACTGACCCCTCTCAATGTATAATAGCTTATTTACCTAAGTAACCTGTCAGAGGTAGGATATAAGTCAGTGGTAGGAAGCTGAACAGTCTTGCACAAGGTTCTGGATTTGGTTCCCAGAACTGACTGGTAAAATGACAAAATATTCAATGCATATAAAACATTTCCTAGATGTCTGGAACACAGTAGGTAATGATAAGTAGGCAGTTACGCCTTGATGAGTTTTGTCACACTTATAGACACAAATCTTATTCAGTTAAGTACAATTCGTCACTGTGCTTCTGACAAAATGCAGAGATACATTTGGTAGCTATCAGTTTCCATATAGTTGCCTTCTAGAAGATGAATTACTGCAATAGCAAAAGAATATGCCAACATATACATACAACCACAGTAACACTGTCTGCCAGAAAGAGAGTCAAAATTATTAATAACAAAACAGCATAGAAAAGCTCATAGAGAGGATGAGTTAATCTGAGAATTTAGAGCAAGAAATCATTACATCCGGTAAGATTCTTCCTTACCTTTTCTATATCACCAAGACCCTCTGTGTCCAGAAGGACCAGGGTATGGGTTGGCTTGGTGGGGTGAGGCACACACCACATCCAGATTCCCTTGGTTTCAGACTGCACAGTGGAACCCAAGGAAAAGCCTGAAAGGAAGAGGAACAAACAGAAAAGGTCAGAGCAGGAAGACCAAGGTAGTAGAGTGCTGAGAATATTTAGCAAGAAGCAAGGAAAAGACTTGTTTTTATTTTAGCAAAGACCATGAATTAAGTACATAAAGAACCCTTTCCCAAAAAATACTTGTGCTTTCTACTTATCTCATTCTTCCAACTCCTCAAAAGGGATTATGTTAAAGGATTAGTTTAGACTCTATTAATTCTAGTATTTATATATGAGTTTAAAAAAAATTGTGTCCTCTTACTTCTGGTAGAGTACAAGCACTGAAGCCCAGGAGTCAATGGCCACCTAGCAGGCATTGCCTTCACTCACTTGTACTCTCATGAGGTATAGTGCACCCGAGACTTATTTCTCACATTGGTCACAGTTCCCTTCATAGAGCTCCATTCAATGTTTCTCGTGCCACATGTTGACACTCATTTTTACCTGCTTCTTTGGAGGGAGGAGCGATTAATTCCTACCTGGTCATTCATATTGCGACTTGTCAACTGCTTGCTCACACCTGTTAGCTCCCTTTGTCCTCCCTGCATCACTGTGAACAGTACCACCATTCCATATCCTTCAATTACCTTGTGAATGCATGGTATAGTTTGGATGTGGAATATCAACCAAAGGCCCATGTGTTCAAGGCTTGCTCCACAGAATGCTGAAATGATTAACTGTGTAAAAACGTTAAGAGATGAGGCCAAGTAGGAGGTCTTTGAGTTATTAGGGGTGTGCCTTTAAAGGAGATTGTAGAACACTGTCTCTTAAGTATTGATGTTGGGGTTTTTTGCCTGTTTAATTTTTTTTATTATTTAATTAAAAATTTCCACCTCCTCCCCTCCTCCCATTTCTCTCCCACTCCCCCATCCCCCTTCCCCTCCCTCTCCAGTCCAAAGAGCAGTCAGGGTTCCCTACCCTGTGGGAAGTCCAAGGTCCTCCCCCTCCATCCAGGACTAGGTTTTCTTCAGGCCAAGCTTGAAACCAATAGAGCAGTATGGCTCTGTCACATGCTTCCTGCTAAAGATCACTGCCTTCCCCCACCAAACCCAAAAGCATTGTGGCCAGTTATCCAGGAAGTGAATCCTCCAGCAATGTCAGCTGAAGCAAACCTTTGTCTTTGTCATTGATTTTTCCCATACTTCGGTCATCATGGTGGACAACTGACTGGCATCGTAGACCATCATGCCAGGCCCCTGATGGGAATAATAGCTTTTGGCTTTGGTTTTGTTTGGTTTGGTTTTGATGCCCCTTCCTCCCTTAGTTTATTCATGTGCTGAGCTCTGTGGCTATTGCCTCATCAATGTGGAATTATCTCAGGGACAAAGAGGAGCCAAGTGACACCTTGTTCTTTATTTTCAAAAGTTTAAACCCACAGTTTAAACTTCTCAAAACCAGTAGACAGCGGCCTGTGTCTGTTGCTCCCAGACTTTGCCCATCTGCCATTCAAAACACTTTCTTCCCCCAACCAAGAAGAGAAACAGGTGGCATATAATTCCTAGTATTCCATGTTTCAGCATTGCCACACTCTGTGATCTCTACAGGAGAAACAGTAAAGTCTGTCTTTCTGCAGACTTCTGGACCTGACTTCTGTTGAATCACATGGGGAGAGACTGCTGCCTGGGCAACTGCTGTAAACAGGGTAAATGTGATAGGAGACCATTTTTTCTCAGTCATGTGGGTAAAGTATTTCAAAGTGAGTCACCCACAGAGATAAAGAGTGACATGGACCTTGGTTGGGAACTAATCTCCTTCTTTACTACTGTAACATTGGAAAGTCCAAATATAATTCAGAGCTCTAATGGCAAATTATCTTAGCTACCAACGTTATCTTGAGTAGAAAATGAAAGCTTCCCAGTCTAAAAGCCGTGTCTTAGGGCTCTCAAATGCAAATCACTCAAAAGTTTATAAAGTTATTCAATCCAGAAAAAGAAAAATACCTCCCCCAATTGATGGCCAAGAGTTCCTCTAATAGAAAGATAAAGACAAATGGGTTGTGTGGGAGGCAGAAGACGGAAAGCAGAAAGGGTTGAAAGGGGAGGAAAGTTGAAGGACAGGAGAAGGGGAAGCAGGTAACCACAGGGAAGATAGGAGGAAAGAAAGAAGGAAGGAAAGGGGATGAGAGAGGAGGAACCCTGGAGAGATGCATCCAGATGGAAAAGTTTTGCAGTCAAGTTTAATCAGAAAAGGTACTGAATCACTGATGCATAAACTAAGAAACATCTTAGGAAGAATGCTGCCTGTGGGCTTTTTAAAAATGAAAACATCAAGCAGAATCATGGGAAGAAAGAAGAAACAACTTAGTAAGGTAAACCGCATCCTTTAAAAACTAGGAAATAAAGGTCAAGATTCTCAACTTAATTTTTAGTGGGTTAAATGGCATACAACTGTGCAGTGCATAGGTCAGAGCAATTAAAGATGTATCTTATGTTCCTGACATCAGGGGACATGTGTGGAATGCTAGGAATAGCACCAGTGTTCATCAACAACAAATGGATAAATGGTATGGTATCCCCAGACAACCACAGGCAATAAAGTGGTAGAAATAAACTGGGGATATTTATGAAAATTACAGGACACTCGGTGTCTTCTTCTGACCTGTGGATATGCACAATGTATACATCCCTGTAAAACACACAAGCTCATATACTCCCCTACACACAAAGAAAAAAAGAATGAACATATTCTCTGTAAATGAAAGTATCAAGGAGCTGCAGAGAGTATGTGAGAGAGTATGATTTGTGTTCGTGTGGTTAGTAGAGTTTTATTTCCAATATCTAATATTTGATCTGGATTGATCATTAACTCCATTGTCAATAATTCATAAAAAGTTTTGCTATGTTAATGAAGCCAGTCTCAGAAAGGCAATCACGTTTCCTCTGATTTCAGCAGATACCTCAAGTCTGTGTAAAGAGGATGGGAAAGTGGAAGGGGAACTGTATTAGGAATGAAGGAGACTGGTGGGCAGGAGAGAGAGGAAGGAAAAAAGGAAAGATTACTGGGGAAGATCTGCTGAAACATACACCCATGCATAAAAATGTCTGTATGTAGCACATTACAGCAAAATAACAAACAAAGTTTGAAAAAGTTTGTCTTGAAATAAAAAAAGAAAAGAAAGGAAAAAGGAAAAACAGCAAAGCCAAACCCCAGAGATTGGATACAGCTCAGTTAGGATTTTGGATATATAAGAACCCTACTACACATCCTTCTTCATTCCATCTCATTTGTTCGCTTGTTTGTTTTTATAGAACAGGTGAAACAATGTTCACACTTGAAATGTTCTTGTAGCTTGGGCAAAGACACAGGAGGAAGAGTTCAGCTGTTGATCGGGTCAGAGTAGAAGGGGTCAAGAGGAATTTTGATGTGGATCTTTTGATAAAGTTGGGGAACAATCATTATACAGAAGAATGTGATCTTTTCCCATAGTTTATAAATTATAAGTTTGATGATAAGAATGGGGAATTTTCATCCATGAGAGGGATAACTGAACTCTTCCTTAATGAGCTTAGAAAAGTGTGCTCTACCACCTACCACTGGTCCAAGGAAATGGTCTCCATACATCAGAAGGCCACTCACCATGGTTCTGTCCTGCAAGACGGTTCATGAGGTAGGACTTCCCTGTACGGTATAAGCCAACAATGGCCACCACCACCAGAGGCTGAGATATCTTCTCAAGAATCCTTATAGCCTCCGGGTTTACTGTCAGCTCTTCTTTCCAGTTTTGAACCAAACAAATGGGTGTCTCCATGGTCCACTGAGATGCCCTGGCACCCTGTAACTGACAGCAGTCACTCCTTGAGATTCATGGTCTAAAGGTCATCGTCATTATTCACGGCAGATGCATCAGCTTTTGTTTGTGCACCACATATATCAACTTCTGTGTGTTTCTATAGGGAAAAAAATGAGCTTAGCATTTCAAAGCCTGTTACAGTACTTAAAATACAGTATCTTACGATTCTTTATCGAACTATGCAAAGAGTTGCTTTGTTTTTTTAAAGAATAAAATGAAGAAAACAAAAGACTGATGTGTGAGACCCGACTGTACTCAGGTTTTGTAGAAAGTGGAGCAAAATGCACATAAAAAACTTGCAAAGTGGGTAGGAAGATTTCCTGGCATTCTAAAAGAATTTGAAGTCTCAGTATGTGAAATTTACTGAGTACTGGCCATGTGTTAGACACTGTTTTGGGTGACTAATATCAAGGAGTAAAAAAATGAGAGCAAATTCCTACCTTGGTAGCTCTCTACTCAAATGTGAGAAATAATTGCAGAGAATGCGTGCGCGCGGACACACACACACACACACACACACACACACACACACCTACCTTAGAAGAAAATGAGTAGAGAATGAGGTAGGGACTTTGGAAGCCGGCTTTAGATGTATGTAAACTGGAACCGACTCCACCAAAATAAAATGAAGCCTCTTGGTGACATCTTTGAGGATAGGCGTCTACCTTCAGGAAAGCATTGAGGGCAGTAGGAAGGAACTTGGGAGAAGCTACCCCACCAAAGAGCCACTGCAGGACTGTCGGGGTTGACTCCTGGATCCCAGACAGTGCAGTGCTTCCTTTCCAAGTTCCCTCCAACAAGAATAAGACATAATACTCTCCCAAACCAAGAGCTCTGAGAAAAGCAGCGCATGCACCTTTGGGACGCCAGGAGGCGCTCTGCACCGGGCGACACACCGCCGAGTCGCTTATGTGGTCTACCTCAGAGTAGAATGCTCCCTGGGAATTTCTCCCAGAGGTTGTTGAGTGAAAGGCTCAGGAAGACTTACCAGCTCTGGCGCGACAGCAGCAACCAATCCTCAACTGACTAGGCTCCTTAGAGGGTTGTCTTCCTGTTTCAGGCTCCTTGGCACAGCCACTCTTAGAAGCTGCAAAGTAACAGCCACCCAAACGGAAGCTGAGACAAAGAGAAGTGAAATCGAAACCATGCTCCTTTCCTGGCGAATCAGTAGCTGAGGGACTGAACAAGGTAACGAGAGTTTGCAAGCTGAGCTGAGCTGAGCAGAGCTAGAGGAATTTCCCAGATTCCTCTGGACTTTCTGAAGTTACCGCGATCTCACAGGCTGAGCATTGTTCTGTCCGCTCCACAGCACGTAAATCAGATAAAATTAACCCCGAAGTCATGGTTCACACCTGCAAGCCTGGCAGGTGTGCCTGGGCAAGAGAGTGAGTTCCAGACCCTGTCTCAAAGAAACAAAGCAAGACCAAAATCAGATAAAATTATGCATGTGCCACACTGCTGACCCATGCAACCCTTGGCACGACTCAGGTTACACCCTGGGTGCTTGAGAAATAAATAAGCTTCAGGAACCTAGTAGAAACCCCATGCATTGTCTCACAAATGTGTATGTGGACCAGCTAGCACATAAGGAAGACTCAGTGATTCAGTAGGTGGGGCTCCCAGAGACAGATTCCGGCTTTCTTGGAGAGAAAAACAATTTAAGTTAGTGCTATACTTGAAAAATGGCTGTGAGGTGGAGTGGGGTGGGGTGAGGTAGGGTGGGGTGGGGTGGGAGGTGGGAATGGGGATGAGTTCTCTTTTATTTATTTGCTCTATTGCAGATTGATTTCTTATTTTTGTTATCATGATAGGTATTTTGTTGTTTGGGGGCTGTTTGTTTGGTTTGGTTTTTGTTTTCTGTTCTTATAAGGAACAGGGTCTTATAAAACCTAAGCTGTCCTCCAGCCTGGCAGAGATTCAATGGATGGCTTTGAACTCCCGATCTTCTGGCCTCCACTTTCCAAGTGTTGAGATTTCAGGCATAAGCCATTTCAGGTGATCACATGAGGTGCTCAGAATGAAACCCAGGTTTCTATGCCTGGTAGGCAAGGATACCAACAACAGAGCTACCTCCTCAGCCCCTTTTTAATTTGTGACTTGATGACAGAATTTCATTCATCATTGGGAACCTCCTACTCCAAACCCTCTTTAGCCCCACTTAGAAAGGGAAGAAGTTATACAGGAAGACTGCTGGTTTTTCCCCAGGGAACTCATGCCATCACCGCTGCCCAACGGGAGAAAGCAGAAAGGCACAGCATACACATCTGTCTGTGGTGCTCCCCAGAGAGCACTACCAATCTGCCATTGCCAGTCAGTGTTCTGGGTCCTTCGGCCTCTTGGATCTAGACAACTGCATCCACAGTGTGGCCTCCTCCTTCCCCTCCACACATTGCAGAACACTGGGGAAATGATTCCTCTCAGATGGAGCAGGAGAGAGCTGCACCAACATAAAACAGTCCAAACCCAGGCTGTGTATCTTTGCCAATGCAGATGGCTGGATTTACCCCATCCAAAGCAGTCCTTCCTTCCTCCCTTTTCCTGTATTACCAGTGGGCAAGGGAAATAGAAACTGAAGCTATGTCCTAACATGAACCTGCTTCGTTTAGGGAGTCAAAGATGAATGTTCAAGCTCAAGTCCTTGGTATTTTAATCTTCTTATTTTTTTTTTAAGTCTTCAGTTTCTTTAAAATGATTATCTGCTGTCAGCTCCTCATTCAGTTCTTTGACCAAGGCTTCCATTGTAGAAAACAGTGGGACTGTGGAGACAGCCTATATTCCCAGAGCAGTTTGCTTGGGAAGGAGAACACATGACTCAGTCAAGTCTGTTCGTGGAGTTAACAATACTGGGTTGTTCCTTCTCTGCCCCAATTGACAAGAAAAGTTCCCCGTGTGCTTCCCCCCCACACACACTTTCTAGAGACTTCCCAGACTACTCTTTCTTTCTCAGAACCATTGTGTATCCCTAACCTTAATCTACAAATCCAAAACTTCAAATCCCCCCAATTGCTGGTGGCCACGTCAGAGAAGCAGCAGATGGCAACTGAAGTTCAAGGTCTTGAGGACCCACTGTTAGGGTCCTCAGGAAGTCCTGAAAAGACTGCCAGACACCATGCAATCAGCAAGAGCAGGTACTATCTAGAAGGTAAAGGTAACAGTGTACTGGGGCTGCACCTCCAACAAAAAGCAAAATGGTGACCACACATCAGACAAAGAGGCAAAACAGGCTGCTTTTAAGCACAACCAAAGGAATTTTAAAAGCAGTGTAACATTCTTCTTTGGATTGGCTTGTGGAAGTGACAGTCATATTAGTACATTTCTAGTTGGTTAGGACTAGCAGAGGCAGGCTAAAGCTGTAGTTTCTCCATTCTAGGGCCGATCTGGACAAATCCTAGGCTTCTCCTTATTTGGTTATACCTGTAGGGGAGGAGGGACAGGAGTTGACCCAGGCATACTTGTCAGGGATATTGGTGATTGCTTGCCTTTTGTTGGTGAACTGAGACCTAGTTCTTAATAGCGTTATGAGGAGCCACTCATGGTATTCACCTGACCCTCCTACCAGAATCTTGGTTACTCAAGGCCCCTGATACCACAGGTTACAGAATGTCTTTTGCTTCTGTTGCTGCTATCTTTCTGTGGTATCTGGCATGGCTGAATGGGTGTGGAGAGATTCCCCATGGCCGTGATGTCATGTGTTTAATCTCATGGAAACATTTAGTTTAACGGGGTATTTTTACTTGTGGATTATTATAAAGATGATTCCTCCTAAGGTGTACTGTCTAATTGATAATAATAATATTAGCACTTCTCTCACTTTCGCCACTTTTTTTTTTAAATAAAACTCTTAAAACTCGGGTTTTGTTGTATATCTTGTGGTCAGTTCTTACGCATAGTAATAATGCAGAATTCTTAAAGGCATTTCAGATTCTTACTATTCTTGCTTTTTCTGATTTGTATTCCACCACGAGAAATGGAAAGCTCATATACAAATTGCTCTGTTCAACTGATCACAAAAGGAATGAACACAAAGCTCACACTTGAACCTAACTTAAAACCTAGTATATACAAGTGAATATGAAAAAACAAGGTTGGAGCGCTAGGGAGTCACAATGGTGTATTTCAAGGACAGGGTGAAAGAGAATTTACAGTGGTTCAAAGAGACTCGGAGAACCTGGTCGATTAGCCTGGGGTAAGAAACAGTAAGCAAAAAAAAAAAAAAAAAAGAAAGAAAAAAGAAACCCTGTCTTAAACAAGGTGGAAGATGATGCCAGAATCAGAAGTGTCTTACATGCCCACGTTCACACACACACACACACACACACACACACACCATATAAAAATCTTTCCAGAATTGTATTTTATTTCACATGAATAGAACCTATGAAAAACATGACTTTTTTCCATATTATAACACAAGAATTCAATGGAATGTGACTTACTCCAAGTAAAACTTGACTATGGTATAACGGAAGTAAATTTATGTGCTTCAAAGTAAAGCAAAATAGCAAATTATTGTTTGAAATTGTTTTAAATCTAGACATAAGCATTTTTCTTCCTTACTCACGTCCTATAGCTAGTCCATACCAAATCATTTCCATATCAGCTAGCACTCATTAATAAAGATGTTTCTTAGCGTGGTCTGGCAATGTTGGAAAATAGCAGGAAAAGCAACAGTCAGAAATAACCATAATTTTTTGAACATATTCAACTGTGTGGTAGCCAAACTACATATATATAGTTCTGCACTATATATGTAGTTCAATCATTATCACTCCATAAATTAATTTAAATAATTTTCATCAATATTCTGGACATGCCGATGGTTTAAAATCAAGTGGTTGCTATCCTTTACCTAAGATGAAAGTATCAAATTAGTTTGTTACCAGCTTTTGGGTTCAAGCATAATGCATGGTCAGAAAATGTAAATTTAATAAACTCTACGATAAGATACAGCTGATGTAGAAATTAAACTTCAAGACTGGTCTTAAGTATTTATTTCTGAACATGCCAAGACATTCTTTACCCTTTCAGTTTTTCAGAGAAACGTAAAACCACGCAATTATTACCAGGACTAAAAATTCTGGTAACTCTACACTCTAAGGCTGGAATTAGATGAATTTATTTGAAACACATGAACTTAAGTAATGTGTGGTTTCTTTTTTACATTATCTAGATTTGAAATATCTGTGTTTCAGAATATGAAATTATAATATAAATTGACAGATTTTTATAATGGCAGATAGGCAATATTAGTCTTCTAAGGAAAATCAAGAGAGAAAAATCAATTTTTTTTTCTTTCTTGGGAGTAAAAAAATTAAATAGAAGAAAAACAACAGCCTGATTCCCTAAAAAAGGCTATAACTGAGGAAAACAGTATTACTTTTAAGACACTTAAAATCACTATCCCTAGCATCATGAATAATGTAATACCACCTAATTCTTATGCATAACAGTCACAACACACACACACACACACACACACACATAAAAAATACAAACACTGCGTGGCAACTAAACACCTGCAGAGTAAAACCGGAGTCTAACTCACAGAGCTAACAAGTCACTTACATTGTAACAGCTTGTTTAGGCCTGCCTGCAGACTAGCAGATTTTAAATGATGTAACAAAACTCTGGTTGTGACACTTTATTCTGGTAGCTGCTCCACTTCATCTACTTTAATACTACTACATTCTGCATCGTATATTGCAAAAATGTGTATAGAAACTTGAAAGGGAGCTGGGCGGTGGTGGCGCATGCCTTTAATCCCAGCACTCGGGAGGCAGAGGCAGGTGGATCTCTGTGAGTTCGAGACCAGCCTGGTCTACAAGAGCTAGTTCCAGGACAGGCTCCAAAACCACAGAGAAACCCTGTCTCGAAAAACCAAAAAAAAAAAAAAAAAAAAAAAAAAAAAGAAACTTGAAAGGATCTTCCATTTTCCGTGAGGGAGACATCATTTAGTCCGCATCATTGGCACATATTTGTAAAACATTTGGACACTGTAAACATTAGAAGTTTTATGATCAGGAATGGCAGGTGTACGCTCTACTACAGTGATGCTGGTGGATGTCTACACAAGGCGTCCGAGTGCTGTCAATCAATCAGAGGTAGGACTTTATCAGTGATTTGCTGCTGTCACGAGCGGTGCATCAAGCCTTCACAGCTTTTCAAAGTTGTTTGCCTAGAATTACCAATGCTTTTAGTTTTTCAGCAGCAAGAGAATCAAGCACCAGGGGAACTAAAGGGTCACATCTCCATGGCACTGACGAATAGAAATGTCTTTTTTTCCGAGCTATGGATAGGACCCTGTGGAAACAAATTCCAAAGTGGAAGCCAGCATCTGAGATCAATGGATGCCAGCCAGTTTCTGTCATGTGAAAAAAAAAGAGGGGGACTTGATTGGGAGAGGGGGAGGGAAATGGGAGGCAGTGGCAGGGAAGAGACAGAAATCTTTAATAAATAAATAAATTTTTAAAAAATAAATAAATAAATAAACAAGGTGAAAAAAAAAAGCAGTGGATAAAGATAATGTGCCTCCCTGAGAAAATGCCCCTAAATAATTCTGTTAGAAGGGATGCCACAATTCAACTCTCGATCTATCAAAGCTTTTACATTTTCTGCTGCCTGTTTCATTCCAGATTCATACTCCCGGGAATCTGGTGATAGTCGGGTAACACCAAACCAAGAAGGCATAGCCGTATTCAAATTCAATGTAATAGGCATAACAGGCACATGGACAGATGCATTTCATGTGTGAACTTCTGATACCTGCAAAGGAATTCTGCCCATCTGTGCCCAGTTTCTCCTCGCAATCTGGAAAGAAAATTACAAGGGTGGTAGCCTTCTGAGCAGTGGGCAGTGGTGTAGCCATGTTATTGCCATACATCCACTGACTGGCAGACAATGCACACTAAATAAAAATTTTTTAAATAGATTGCCTTTATTTTTTTTACTTTAATTGAAAATAGTTTAATTGAATATACATTTATATTTAAATTTATAATTTGTATGTTTATAGTATATATATATACATATATATATATACCAGGATTCATATCAATGCAAATCTCTATAGTATATCCTCCTTTAAATGTAAACACACAAATTATAAACAATATTTGGGAATATGGTCGTAGTTCTGTCCATACTGCTTCCTGCTGTTTGGGGGCGCTGTTAATCAGATCTTTCAAGGTATATCATCTCAGTGTGCTAGGCTCATCTCAGTCAGCAGCTGGGCAAAGTAATTTTTTTGAGGGATGTTCAAGGAGATCTTTCAGGGGGTCTTATTCCATGAAACCACACCAGTCTGGAAGCAATCCATAGGCTCTCATCCTCTGTGGAAACAAGAGAAGAACCTCTTTTCCAAAGCAACACATCCTCAGATCCAAATTTGGAAGTCATGTTACCTTTATAATATATATGCTGGTTTAGCTTAGCAGCCCATACAATAAAATGTCTCTGTGTACTTAGCTCCTTCACAGTCAAAATTTCAAAGAAAACATAATGATATACATAATCCAGACTCTCTGTCTTGGCTTATTTTTCTTTACTCCTTTTAATCTATGACTGTCTTTGCTTTGTCTCTTTATAGTCTTTTTTTTAAAAAAAAAAAGGTTTACTTCTTTTCCAACTCTCTATACTCTTTTTCTTCCCTCTTCCAGGCCTATATACATTTTCCCAAAACTGTGACCCATTTAGAGTTCTTTTATGTCTGAATCTGTCCTTATTGCATTATCTGTAATTCTTTACTGTCTTGAAGAGCTTTTAAAATGATAAGCAGCTTGGTTGCAGCTGCTCTGGATGCTGGCTCCACCTCTCTCCCATTTTAAAACGGTGGAGGCTCTGGGGCTCAGCACTTTAACCCTGAGAATGAGCATGCAGCACACAAACCCTTTTTATCTGAGTAATAGCTAAATCTGCCATGTAGAGTACTGAGCAACCTGGAAATACCTCTGTGTATGGAAGCAGGAATTTGCCATGCTCTTCTGCTGGTGCACACCTAGTAGACCGATCTTGCCGCCTGCCCAGGCAAGGAGTGCTATGCTGTGGGCAAGGTCTCAGCTACTTTCCTCCCAACTCCAAGTGGGCACACAAATACTCAAGCCCACAAATGCCATTCAAATGCTCCATAGCCAGAGTTTGACCTGGCACCATAGTCCAGGAAGCCATGTTTTAAAACCACGCAGCTTTTTTTCTGCTATGGCTAAATCAGGAAAATCTCTATTAAAGGAGCCATGCCTCTGCCCACCTCTAGCAAACAGAACTCACTCAAGAAAATGCCTCTACCAAACCATGCTTGACTCTGTTCTTTTGTCCATTTTAAGCTTTTTAGATTTTACATGGATTTTGCTCCACCACTTTGGAACACCAGCTGTTGCAAGGAACCACTTGTTTGTTTCCACAGCCCAGTTCCAAGCTGCCCGGCTAGCTTAGCCCCAAAATAATCACACAGAAACTGTGTTCATTAAATCACTACTTGGCCTATTAGCTCTAGCTTCTTATTGGATAACTCTTACATTTTAATTTAACACATTTCTATTAATCTGTGTATTGCCAGGTGGCTGTGGCTCGTCAGCTAAAGTTTCAGCATGTAGTAATCTGTCAGCTCCATGGCATCTCTCTATCTGGCTTCCTTCTCCCAGCATTCAGTCCAGTTTTCTCTGCCTACTTAAGTTCTACCTTGCTATAAGTCCAAAGCAGTTTCTTTATTCATTAATGGTAATCACAGCACACAGAGGGGACTCCCACATCACATGGGTCTCTGTACTTATTTCTATATGCTACAGGAGGAAACATTTCTAATGATGGCTGAGCAAGGCCCTGATTTATGAGTAGAGCAGAATGACATTAGGTGTCATTTTATTGCTACTTTTGGGGTGAAATGTATAGGAAAGTAGTATTTGGTTTTACTCTCTGGTTCTTGGTCGCACTAGCAGTTATAAGATTCATTCTGTGGAGTGGACCTTAAAGTCAGATCAGAGATTGGCTGGTTACTCCTAAGTTTTGTGTCTCCACTGTACTACCATACTTTGCAGGCAGGACACTCTTATAGATCAAAGGATTTGTGGCTGATTGATGTTTGTTTTTCTTTGGTAGCATGCAGAGTGTATCCCTGTACCAAAGATGTTAGCATGTGGGGTGAAGGTTCTATGGGCACCAGCTTGACTTCTCCATGTTCAATGAGTTGAGTTATGTAGGTATTGTCTTCAGCAATGGGGACTTGACATCAATTTGTGGACAGTGACTTATGTATATTCTTGGTTTTTGAAACTTAATAAATGAAGTTAACATGACAAAGAGTTCAAAATTAATTCTCAGGAATAAAGACACCTTACCTACAGTTTTCTAAGAAGAACTCTTTGGCTTTTTCATTTGACTGCTTACAATTTTCAGCCCTAAACCAAATAACTTACCAGCACCAGGCAATACTGAAATTAGCACATTTCCAAACCCATCGAAGACTTGTGCAGCTAATGAGCTATTCAGATTCTGATTTTTTTTAATCACATTTTGTAGTAGGCTTATCTCATCACCCAGTGCCTCATATTTTGTTTTAAATCCCTCTTTAAGCATGTCTTCTTGGACCTGTAAAAAGGAAAATTCACTTGGAAAACCATGTTGTTTTTTTTTTAAGGTTAGGGGTTTGCACTTGCAACTCAAGTAATTAAGGACACATATCTATCACTCTACTAAAATGCACTCACTAATGAATTTCCCTAATAAATGGGTATGAGAAATGGTCAAAACAAACTGTATCCTGTATTTTCCTCAGCACCATTTGCAAGAGTGGAGATGTCAGACAAGACCAAACCTGAACAGTGTTCCTCTGATAATTTCTAGGGCTCACACGAGCGTACCTTCAACTTGTGTGCTAGCATCTCCTCTTGCTCTCTCAAAAGGTTCTTCCTTTCGATCTCCATCTTCTCGTGTAGTTGGTCCATATTTTCCTTGTAGCTTCTCTCTTGAGATTCCATCACTTGCTGCAGTTCTTTCTGTTTCTGTCTTAGTAGCTCCTGCTCTTGTTCCGCTGCCTCCTTCTGAGCCCGCTCAGCTGTCCCACGAGGGTTTGAAAGAGGCAAAACCCAACAGTCAGGACAGAGCTCTCCTTTCTTGGTCTGAGAGACATAGATGATTTTAAAAACATCTAGGGAGAACTCTGAATTCTAGGGCCCATACCTCAAGGGCACATTTCAGAACGATGCTGAAAGACACCTGCTACACCAGCTGAGTGAGACCATACCTACCCTTCTTAATCTCATAGCAGCAGAGTATGCAATCTATGGAGAAAGACCTTCCTGACCATACATCAGCAGGCTTAACAGAAGCCTTCCCATCCCCGTGAGAGTCAATCCTCTTATGTACCTTCCATGGCCTTCTGCCCATCAGTGAGGGCTTTGTCTGATTGCAGGATGAAGTCCTCTATGGTAACCTGTGACTGTAGAAAGCTTTGAAGGACATGATTTGCCTAAGGAAACAGAAAAAAATGAAATTAACAGGCCACAAAAACACAATGCTGCCCTCTAAGTCCTATATATTTTCTCACCTTTCTTAAGATCCCCCCCTTCTGTTTCCTTTGCTTTAACAGTAGTAATTCAAATCTCTTCTGCAATTCTTGAAAATCTTAGGTGGTAGCCATCTCCCAAGTCTCCTTCCAAATAGTGTTTCACTTCTCAGACCAGGTTACAACCACAGAGCGCTAGGCAGAGCCTCAAAATTGCCCTCTCCATTGTTTAATGTACCCACACAGTTCTTGCCTGCTAGAATCCTTGCTGTGTTTAGACAGGTAAACACCCATTGATAATCTATCTTTTCTCTGTATCTTCTTTTAGGGGAAGCTTTGCTAAGCTGTCTTCTGATGTCTGCATGGTTGCTAAATATATTGAGATAACTGTTTTTCTGTGGTCTGACAATGCATCAGTGTCTCAGTCACTCCATCACACACCTCTTAAACGCACACAACAGTAGTCCATAATCACACCCTTATTCTGAGTATTATTCTGATTGAATATTATTGCAACCACCATGATATTAATTGCATCATTATTTCTGCTCTCTGTCTGTGCCAGGATAGTTCTTATTCTGAAGAATCCAACTGACTATAGTGAGGCAAGATCATCAGTATCTCATGGACAAGGGTGCCTTTTATCTTCAAACCCCACTATTTAGTTCAGAAAATAATTGCCTGGGTTAATCAATGGAACAAGTATTCTGCTCCAGTTAGTGTTATCCATTCTAAAGTTCTTTCAGGGAAACACTAATTTTATGACTTTATTGAAAGAGAAGGATAGAGCGATATGGGGAATATTCTTACCATACCATATACATGACTGTGTGCATGTGTGTATGAAAATTTCTTAATGTAACACAGTACCATGCACAGTATATACTATGAAATGTATAAACAATAAAACTTTAAAATAAATACATAAGAATTATTAACTCAGAACTTTATAATCTGGAAGTGCATAGGTAGACATACTCAGCCTTCTCCTCATGAGAAGTTCAGATCTAAGGAAGAAGAATAATTCCTAGCAACCCTGAGCAACATCTCCCTGTTGCTTATTCCTCATTTCTCACCTTCACTCCCTTCCTGGGCACTCGCTCATATTCCTGCTCCACATTCTTCCTGGCCTCTAAGTAGAGTCTGTGTCCACCAGGAACAGAGAAAGCTCCACGTGAGATGTTCTCCCTCAGGTGCTCTGCAAGCTTCTCCAGCTCAGCCTGGCAGTAACTGAGAGATGCTTCTTCATTCTGTCGAAGGAAATCTTCCTTATGTTCCTCTATGGCAACCTGGCAGGGGATGATAGAGACCCAGAAAAGGAAGCTCTTGGAAAACAGATCCAACTTTGATCTTGGGGGAAGTAATAAACTTAGATGTGGAAATTACACCATGGGTCAGGAAACTCTCTTCACTGCCATGTCTGAGTCACCATGGACACCCCATGCCTTTCCAGTGGCCAGGCTCATCCCCTGTGAAACAATAAGGTCTATCTGCAGGACCTTTGGCTCTTTTAGCAGCACTGAGATTAACAGTGAACAATTCGCCAGCTGATCAGTGGGGCATGGTTGGCAGGAGTATCTCCTTCAAGAATTAATATGGAGGAAAATACACGTATGAAAAAGCTATTCACACAGGGACAGGAACTTTACATAGGTTTATGAGCTCTTCATTAATTCCTCCATGAAGAACATGAGTGTGTAGAGACAGAATAATAAAACTTTGTATTATACTTAGAAATTCCAGTCCAAGGGATTCCCCTGCTTATGAGGCTCCCCAGAGCTTTCGGGTGAGGGCTGAACCCAGTTTACAACATGCTTCAGTCTTCTGATGCCCTGAGCAGAGCACACAAGCCTCCCTGCACCGTGCTTATAGTCTACAAAACTGAGCGGATATATATGTGCTTTCTCATCCTGATGTGTTTATTGAAAATTCTTTTGTAGCAATGAAAAAATTATCAAGTCCCTGAATTTGATCTTGTAGAAACTTGTCACTCACAAGAATCCAGATGAATGGCAAAGTCAAAATGGCAACTGTTTCCAATACTCCTAAAAGTGGATATCGGGAAGGAAAAAGAAGAGGCACAGATACAGTACCACCAGCTTCTTCTGGAACTGCTGATTTTCATCCTTGAAGGAGTGCTCCATAAAGACAGCAATGGCTTCCTTCTCACAGGCTGTGTGCACATTGAGCAGATCCTGGAGTGTGTTTGTGGGGAGCCTCACTAGCTGGGCCATCCGTTCAGTGTAGTGGTCAGTTGCCTTCTGCACAGCTATGAAGTTCTCACGCTGGGCCAGAGTGGTCACTGCATTCTCCAAGCAAGGCACTGCTCCACTATTGATGGCATCCACATAGGTCGTCACCAGAGTTGCCAGTCCTGACCAAGGCAAGAAACTGAAGGTTAAATATCAAGCTAACTATTGTTAAATTCGCATGATTCACCCAACAGCAATGAAATACTAAATCACTTAGGCAATGAATATTTCATGCATGAGAGTAAAGCCTATTTGGTTGGACCCAACCAAAAATAAAAGTGATAATGTTTTTCGAAAGTTTTGAATTTTAGGACAATAAGAGAGCATTATGGGAAAGGAGCAGCTCTTCTGCGTATTGGCATCATGTGACTATACAGAGATATTTCATTGAAGGACATGTGTATATTGTGTTGGGGGATTATGTGTCTGCATGGTTGCATGTATTTGTGTGTGTCTGTGTGTAGAGGCAAATGGCAAGCCTTGATGATCTGCTTGTCTCTGTTTCCCCAGGTACAGGTGTGCAAAATCACTCTCAACCCTTTCAGGTGGACTCTGGGAATTGAACTCATGATTGTAAGCTAAGCACTTTACTGACTGAACCATCACCTGAGTGCAAAAATAGTGAATTTATAGCTCAAATTCACAATGAACTTTTAGGAACCTTGGTCTCTTACTTCCTTTAGAACTGTCTTTTCTAACCAGAGAAGCAGCTGTGCCCTTGAACATTATTTCAAACCAGGTATTCCCTCTTTAACCTTAGTCCTGCTTCTTTGATCATTAGCCATTTCATAAGCTTTATTAGGTTTCAATAAGACTCCATATAGAGAGATACTATTTCAGAAAGACGAAATTTTCTGAATAGCATAAACAACTCTTTCTCTGTATGAGACACTAACCTTTAATCAAAAATTTTCAGCACACTATTTCAAAGTAGAGAGATATTGCTTAGCCCAAAGGTAACTCACTGTTTCCATTGACAATGATTCCCTCTTTCAAGGTCTTGGCCTTGGAATTGGAGAAGATGTAAGAGCAGAATACTTTCGATTGCGCTTGGAAATTGGGATCCAACTCGTCTTCTGGTATTTCCTCAACATGGACTAAGAGTTCTTTCTCTTTTGTAGGTCGATCAAAGACAAAACATTTCCGTTGTGGAAAGAAATGCCTGATGCATTCTCTAGGCATGTTAGCATTTCGGGCTTTGAGACCCCTGCCTGTAAAAATATGTAAAAGAAATTAGTTCTTTAACAAAACGGCCCTCAGGCTCAGGGCCTGGTGTTTTCATTTCCAGAGAACCTGGGGTCACAGTTGTTCTCTCCTTCATCTCCTATAACCCACCACATGCTCTTCGTCTGAGCATCTTGGACAATGACAAATCCATTTCTGCTTAAAAGTAAAGGGCAATAAAGCAATTATGATGATAAAGAGTACCAGCTATCCATGGGATAAAGGCAACTAATTTTTGGTCTTCCTAGTGTTTGGTACAGACCCCAGTGGATTAAGAATTTAGCAAACATTTACTGGACAATTAACTAGTGGAGTCAAAGTGTTAGAAGACGTTTTCTGACTTTCCAAAATCCTTGTCATAAATGAAATTTGAACCTTAAAACAAAGTGATCCAGAAAACAATGAGATGCTACCAGGAAAAATGAAAGATGGCATATGATATCAGGTCAGGAGAGAAAAGCACCAATATCATAAATACTTCAGAAGATTCTGTGCCTTGACAATTATGATGAGTAATACTAACTTACATGCAATGTAAAAGCCTCTTTTCTTTGCTAAATAAGAGTCTGTTAGTGTTGACTGAGAATTACAGCAATCCCGTGCCATACAAATATTCAATGAATGTTTGTTGAGAGAAGAAAATAAATGAATGAATAAAAATGCAGAGAGACCTCTCTCAATATCTAAATATCGTATATTTAAAAATAGATACAATATTAAATATGTTAACTGTGAGGCTGTCAAGAGAAAAGAAAATGGAAAATAAAGATTTAAGTTCTCTGTAAGAAAATATTGATTTTTTTCTGAACTATTCATAATACATCTTTATCTGAAAAAGATTAAGTAGTCAAGTAGTAATAAATATACTGTACAAAAGAATTACAATTTGGAATAGATCATTTCATGTGATTTTATAACATCTGTGTACTCTCTGTATATATGTGTGTATGTATAAAGTTAAATATATATATATATATATGGTTGGAATATATGTATGTTAAGGTTAAGTTATAATATATATCATATATATTATCTATATGGTGTGGTTGTGTGTGTATGTGAAGAGAGATAGAGGAGAGGGAGAGAACACAGAAATCCTTTATAAGGAGCATAATATGTGGGGTATGAACATTATAGAAAGTATTACTATCCAAATAACATTTTTCACAATTAATTGATTTAAGATCATTTGGTCCAATATTTGAGCCTCATTGTTTCCATTGTATTTAAATTCCAGCAGCTGAAGATTGTCCAGGATAATAACCATGGAAAATGCTCACTAATTGCTTTTCAGTTATCAGTTTATTACTGGCTAAGAGTTCAAATTAGGGTAAAAGTAACATTTATGGCAAGTAATGAATGGGAGAGTTAGCTCCTTCCCTCCCAAGCCAGGCTCTGATACCTGGAATCAGCTTCAGGGCATTCTCCAGGTACTCATCCGCTGTGATGGCGCGTCCATCTAACTTCAGCTCCAGAGTGAAATCCCGAACAGTCCAGACAAAGTCCGGAAAGAAGCTCACAAACTCATCAGAATCATCCATTTCTTCAGATTGTGAAGAGGATTTTGTTCTGATCAGCTCGGTCAGTTCAGTCACATAGCTGGGACCTTCGCTAAGGAACAAAAGGCAACATTCTACCCTCCTAGAGGTCTTTTACAAACCCATTTCCTCAGTCTGAAGTACTGAGTAACATAAGCCATATTCCCAGCTGTCACTCTTTTAAATTAATAAAACATGGTTCTGTCCCTGGAAGGATACTGCAGCTGCTCCAGGGCCTGGTGGTTGATGGTGTTCATGCTGTTGTAGACAAAGGTGCTGCTTAGGAGCACAGCCAGGGCGAAGATCCACGAGTCATTCTTAGAGTCACCCTAGAGGACACATGAAGACGAGGGACTTCAGAATCTAACCTCCATTCTTTCACTTGTTTATTGGCTGCGTAAGCAGAAATACATCAGACTGATAGAATGAAGAATAATGATTTGAAGAATAAAAATTCTTATTTCCTTTTCAGCATTGAAACTGACCTTACCAGTTTCCATAACCAGAATCAATGACACTGTCCAACTATGCAAAATATTTGCTATAGTGCTTAGTACAGTCCACGTGCAACAACACCATACCATTTAATTAACAGGCTATCAATTATGTCATATTAGAGGCTGTAATATTTACTCAGATCCAACAACTGCTCATGACACATCTACAAAATACGAAGTACTACATTCATCTGTAAGAATGCAGATTTTCAAGTAACAATAGGAAGGAAGAGGCAGACCTGTAAGGACAGAAATACAACCATGATGACCAGCTGTGCCAACAGTAGAACGCAATGCTAGTACACGGAGAAACATGATTAACTTTAGTAAGTGAAAGGAGGGCTGTCGCCGGGTGATGGTGGCGCACGCCTTTAATCCCAGCACTCGGGAGGCAGAGGCAGGTGGATCTCTGTGAGTTCGAGACCAGCCTGGTCTACAGAGCTAGTTCCAGGACAGGCTCTAAAGCCACAGAGAAACCCTGTCTCAAAAAACAAAAAAAAAAAAAGAAAGGCGGGCTGTCTCACTTTAGTGTGACTGTGTACCTGGGCTGTGATGGCTATGGTAGGAAAACAGCTTCTTTTTAAATACTTGCTGGTAGATGTAATTATAGATTTAAATAAGTCACACATGTGGCAAGCTTAATACTCAGTAAATAAAAAATATTATATCACACTGGTCATATTAATGCCTCGCATGTCTATCTGGTTTGACCGAAGCAGAGGCTACGTGTGAGGATTTGGAAGTTCAGGCTGGAAGCAATATTTAAGGTAAGATGTGCTACTCTGAAAGCCAGGCAAATAGATTAGATGCTACCCAGTCCCACAAACTCCAGAGACAGTGGGTCGCACTCTATCATGTTTGCGATTCTTGCAACCAGCACGGAAGGTGAACTAAAGCTGCAATCAAATGGCTAGACTCAAGGCTAGCCCCCATAACTCTCTGACTTACCTTTTCCACATCACCTAGACCCTCTGTGTCGAGAAGCACAAGGGTGAACTTTGACTTGGTGGGGTGAGGCACACACCACATCCAGATGCCCTTAGTTTCAGACCTCACTGTGGTGCCCAGATTGAAGCCTGCAAGAGAGAATAATGAAGCCATGTTCATTCATATTAATCCTTAGAATATAGGAGACAGAAGTTCTACCCACAGTGGCACTGAGCTGATCCAGGTACAAAATATTAGGAGGAAAGAAGCCCTTGCATGTTCCTTATAACAAGAGGAAGGTAGTGGGAAAGGGCAGATTGAATGACTTAAATTTTCAAAGACTTGAGTGTGTATTTTACAAAATAAGGCATGAGAATTACTAGATATGAAGAACTGCCCCACCTTGTCTATAAGCTGGTGGCACAGACCCAAACTAGCCACATTAACAGAAATTAAAATCAGATGGAGTTTTTATTTTTTTAAAAAAATGCAGAATTCTCTATTGTTGTTAATAAACATGTGAACTACATATGAAGTCTAAAAAGGAATTTGATGCCATGAGGAAACACTGAACACACAGACGTCCTGAAATCTAGGTTCACTCCTGGTTATGTTCCACTAAGAGAGGTCTGTGCAAATCTAGGTTCACTCCTTGTTATGTTCCACTAAGAGAAGTCTGTGCAAAAGTGCCCCAACATAAAGACAAGCTCATGTGTGAAAACCTTGTCCTCCAAAAGAAGCTCTGCAAAGAAATTGATGCTCACTACAACAAATGATATTTTCACATATTGACATACTATAAAATTTTAAAGTAATTTAATAATACTTACAACAAGCAGGATAAACTTTATAAATTTGTGATCAAAGGAAGCCAGAGACCTCAGACAACATGTGTTGGATGTAGTCTGATGCATTAAGATAGACAAATATGCTTTATATAAATATGTATAAGTAGACTTGTTAAGAAGATTAAAAGTAGGTCAAAGTGAACTGATTTTTATAGATGCACAGTTAGATTTTATAAATGATTTTGTGAACCAAAAAGTTTGTTTATGAAAATAAGAATATTGATGAGCCTTGGGAGAGTATAAGATGATATGCATAAAGTATTTGAATACTAACAAAGCTTTATATTTTGACCTGGCCAGTAAAAAAATAAGAATTATCTTTATTAATTATGCCATATACTGTATGTAATTTATGTAATTATGTATTACTACATATACATATTTGAAAAGACTTCATAGAGAAATGTATATAGTTATTAAAATGCTGTGGTGAAGTAGGGCAGAAAAATAAAAAGGTAACTCAAAAATAATATGACACAAACTCAAATCTTCTCTCCCCTTTCCCTCTCCTCTTTTACTTTTCTTTTTTCCTCCTTTCTCTCTTTTCCCATCTTTCTCTCCCTCTATTGTTCACTCCTTCTCTCTCTCTCTCTTTCTTTTTCTGCCTCACAGAGCGATACTTTCAAAACCGAATTGCCCACCCTTCCTTCCTTCTCTTCCTCCCTTTCTTCCTTCCACCATCCCATCTTTATTATTTTAATAAACAAAACACAGTGAATTGCATTTGCATTAACTCCATAGTAAAACTAAGATGTGAGAAAAGGAAGGTGATGGGAATTGATCTGATGATTGATCAATCTGATGATCGGGAGAAAATGACCAATTTGCATTGCTATGATTCCAAACAAATGGCCTCTGTCCTTCTGTCTGAGGACAGCACTCACCGTGGTTCTGTCCTGCCAAGCGGTTCATCAGGTAGGACTTCCCTGTACGGTACAGTCCTACAATGGCCACCACCACCACAGGCTGAGTAATTTTCTCAAGAATGTTTAGTGCTTCGGGATTCACTCTCAGCTCTTGATTCTCATTTTCCACTAGGCAGATAGGAGCCTCCATGCTGGCACTAGATGTTATGGTAACCTGCAAACCCAAAAAAATCATTCTCAGGAGAGTATGAGATCTCCAAGCCACCTCTAGTGGCATGTCAATTGGCGTGTATTTATACAATGAGTGCATCCATTTCAGTTTTTGGTGTGGGGTTATTTTATCTTTGTTGGGGTTGAATGACAATTTTTCAGGAATCTCTCTAAAGCAAACACTCCAAAACCAATGAAAGTGGAAGAGAAGAGATGTATTCACCAGTGGACCAAAGTCAGGATGGTTCCTGAAGGTTTCTGTCTGGGGTCTATTTTGCATTCACATTTATACTGGCAAGCAGGCAAGCAAGGGTGATTTTTTTTTTAGAAGCACACATGGCAGAAAGCTTTTTACTTTACAAAGACGTATGTTACATTTGTCAGACGTAAGCTTTTGGAGTCAGGTTAAGGGCAACAGCCTGTTGGGTTTTATCCATTTCTCCAGGTTGTTCTATTCCAGCGAGCAAATGAAGTCACGCTTGGCAACAAGCCGTACAAACATGGAGCTTTAAGTCAATCTAGTAACTGGTCTTTTCTGCCTTATTTTACTTCAACAAAGTCTTATGTGACCCACGCAAGGGCCAAACTTTCTATATAGCATAGACTGGCCTCAAACATCTAATCCTGACACCACGCACTTTTTTCTATTGAGATTACACACATGCATCATCTTACTTGGCATTCTAATTGTGATTTTTCTTGGGCGGTAGGCGGAAGTTTTGCTATGTTTTCAATTTTTTTTTTTCAGGTAGTATTTCACCAAGCCCAGGATGGCTTCTAATTTTTTTTAATTTTTATTTAATTTATTTATTTTTCAGCAGCAAAGACTGATCTTGAACAATTGATTCTGGTGCTTCCACATCCTGAAAAGCAGGAGCATGGATGAATAACACCATGCTGAATTTATATGGTGCTGAGGAGTGAAGGTTCATCAACACTAGGCAAGCAATCAACCAACTGCGAGCAGCCCCAGGACCTTCAGCTTCCTTCCTGCACAATGATAAGTGACATCATCCCACATCTGTTTCATGCCCGTGGTGTGAAAGATGACACATGAATATTATTTCTCTTCAGTGGCCAATTTCTCTGAAAATGCATCCTAATCAATAAATACTTCTATGGGCAAAGGTCTGAAGGTGGTGTCAGATTGACATTATCTCATAAAAGTATCCTGTACTTTAAAGACGATTTATTGCCTTTCCTTTTCTGGAGTCACACAGAAGAGAGTTAAAACTGCCTCAGCCCTAGATTTTTCACAAGTTGTCAAAGCTGTCTAAAACTGTTCTTGGATGAATGACACCCTGTGAAACAATACATGAAGGTACACAGGCTTAACTGCTGTTTTTAACCTTTGACTAGAAAGAGTGTGACTGACTCCACCCCTCGGGGCACGGGAGTGCAGCTGGTACCACAGAGATGCTTCAAACCCGCATAGCGGATTTAGTCTGTCTGACATAACATGACACGGCTCTGTTTTCTGTTTCTTCAACTTCAGGAAGCACACAGGGAGAGAGCAACTAAGGATCCTGGGGTTAGGTCCCTCTGTAGTAGAAAGAACTTCGCCCCCTTATGGTGGAGATGTGTACAGGATTGCACAGACCAAAACTCAGGTTCCTCTTGGAACCTCGCTCGCATCCCCCATCCCTGATCATGGCTGATGCACCAGAGCCACGGCGCCTCCCTCCCGTGCGAAGCAGCGCCCGGTTCACACGCCCTGGGGCAACGGAACCGCTTCCAGTCACCTTCAGCCATCCACCAGTGTAAATTGAACCAGGGTAGAATTTGCGCCCTGGGACCTCAGGACCTTGCTGTAGCCCCTTAGAAATTTGTGCCTTGGGTACCGAGCCGCGGGGCACTCACCTGACTGCAAGGGACGAGTCTCAGCTACCCTGGCTCAGCACTCTTAAGCTTGCTGCTGCGTCTGGCTTTCTCCAAAGTTCTATTCTTTAGAAAGAGGAATCAAACAGGATATTGCACCCACCCAGTTGTGGAGATAGAAAACCGAAACTGAAACTGCCTTAGCCTGTTTATTCTTGCTTTCTGAGTTTTGCACTGTTTCCAGGAAAGGAGACGGAATCTGTGGGAGACCAGAGAAAGTCCATAGTTCTGTGCCAGATGACCAGGCGAAAACAAAAATAATTTGCTGAGTCTCCAAATATGGACTTTTATTGGAGAATAACAGTTTGGCAACGGGGATATGCCAACTCCTACCACAGTGAGCTATCAGCTTATTTGAAGATGTTGACACAAATGGCTATTTTTAACTTAAAAATTTTCAGCCCATGCACATTAATACTGTACATATTAACAGGGTAATGGATGTTTACACATGTTTACACACATGATGTTGGGTGTAGATTGGGTTAACAGAGTTACTATTTCTTTTTGAGATGTGTACCTCCACTGTCACCAGCACTAGCCTCAGTGGGCAGCTGCACAAGAGAACACTGGCTTCTCTCTTTCCTACAGTTGCCACTGTAAAACAGCTTCCTATGTCTCCTGCCATGGAAGTTGTTCAAAGGCAAAAGTGAAATGATTGCAAAAGATGTTTTGAAACACTTAAGGAAGCTTTGCCTTCAGTGCCTTTGCCCAGATGTCTGCCAACACACAACAGTCTGAGTTGTCATCTTTGCCTGGTTAAGTGTTTGGCGCATTTCATTTAAGAAGGTTTTTATAGGAGGGGGAGGGAAATGGGAAAATTTTTTCTTTTGCAACAACTAAAAATAAAATAAAATAAACAAAAAAATTAAAAAAAAGAAGGTTTTTATGATTGGAATGTAACCTCATGTTGGATTGAGGAGCGTATATATTTAGACAAGAATAGTAAAGTGTCTGTGCTCGATGCCTCCCTGGGGTTCCCTAGGCATCATCTTACTGAGCTAGGGACTAGGGCAGGCCTGAGAACCATCCCTCAGTATGTCTTAAGGTTACTCTTCAGTTGGGAATGTAGGTTTGATGCCCATCTGCCAGTTAACTGAAGTAAACTTAGTCCACCAAGCAATGGAAAATGTGAACTCTGAAAAAAATACTAGTTGTCAGACTCAAGGCTGGGACATGAATGCAATGTATTGCAGTTAGTCAGGGTGATTTGGGCAAATAGCGGGAAAAAAAATACAAGCTTGATAACTTTCATGAAAAAAAAAGCATTTTTATGATGCTTTTTTCAAGACCAAATGGATCCGTTTCAGATTGACTTGTTTCCTGTAGCAAGATGGTAAAAACTACGGGAATGTAGAACTAAGACCCTGTTCAATGGAGCACAATTAGATCTTCCTGAAATTCCCAGAAAATAATGACCCAGCATGTGGGAGCACTGTAATAAGGTGAGTTCAAGGACTTCAGCAGAATCTAGATGGATTTGAGACTTTTATGAGCCATATGTCTGGGCTCCAGCATCCTCTCCTGCTCTTGGGCGGTTTTCTTTTCTCCTCTCTATTTCTTCCATCGTTTGATTAATACTTAACTTGAAGCTACCCCCTTTATTATCCACAGCTGGCTCTTGCTTCTCTGTTGTTCTTTACAGTTTTTTTAGTGTCTCCTTCACGGCTCACTTAGTGCTATGCAGAGGCCATGGAAGACAAAAGACTGCCTGGGCTACTTTCTCCCTGAGCCATTAAGAGCTGAATTTGCCATGAGGTGGGAAAGGCCATGCTCAGCTGATGTGAAACCACAGCTAACCACTTGTTAGTTTTCAGATTCAGCATAGTGTGCATGCCACGGAAAGAGAGAAATGCCTTCTTCCTGTTCAGCCTCCAAAGAGATGAGCTCTGCCCATTACCTTGTGTAGCTTGTATTCATCAGTGAAACTGCTAACTAAAGGATTAATTTTCCCATTGCTGCCTTACTGTCCAGGAATTTCAAGAGTAACACCACTGCCCAAGGAAGCACAAAGAGCAGCAGACACGACTTCAGCCTCTTTCTGAATACATCATTGTTCTATGCAATCAGACACTGGACCCAGTAGACTTCACATCCAGATTGCCATTGTACTTTTGACTCTGCCAATTGTTTACTGTCTATTTTACTCAGCCACTGTGTGGTGTCTGCCCCTGAGTGTTTCTTAAATATTTGTTGAATAGTTGATGGATAAAATATTTTAAAATCTCAGAATTACTTCTGATTGTTATCATAGCGCCAGGAGTGAAAAGGAGACTTTGAATAAAGTAATATGAGGAATAAGGACAGCATTTTGAAAGCAAAAAAATGTCAGGATGAAAACAAGTTATTGAAGTCAATATAGAAGTAGATTGTAAACATAAGCAAAAATTACCATAAGCATCTCCACCCACTTCCTTTAAATTAACCCAGAAACTTGAGGGTTTTTTTTCAGATCTCCACAGCACATTTATCATACATGTCCAAACCCAAATATGTGTCTCTGTGATATACACCCTATGCTCAAATACACATTTATTTACATAATAGGTAATGAGTAAATTGATGGAGGAAGGTAATTGGTTAATTATAATAAACCAACTGCTTGGCCTCATAGCTTAGAACATAGGTGGGTGGAATAAACAGAATAGGATGCTGGGCAGAAGAGGAAGTGAGGTCAGACTCTGCTCTGCTCCTGGACAGACCCGACAGCTCTGCTCTCTGGATGAAACACCCCAGAATGGACATAGGCTAGAATCTTCCCGGTAAGCGCACCTTGGGGTGCTTACACACATCATTAGAAATGGGCTAGTCCAGGTGCGAGAATTAGCCTGTAAGGGCTAGAGTTCATGGGCCAAGCAGTTCTTAAATGAATACAGTTTGTGTGTTGTTATTTCGGGCATGAGCTAGCCAAGTGGCGGAGTGTTGGGGACGCAGCCCCGCCGCTCTTATTTCAACAGTAAATGAAATAAATATCTCCCCTAGATGGGCTATTTACCAGCAATTATCTCTGCTGGTAAATAGCACATGTTAGTCTTATAATGTTAAAATAACTCTTTACATTAGGCTAGAGAATGAAGATGGATCATATGAAGAAATAAACAGAGGAATTTAATGATTTTACTGAAAAGTAATATCTATGATTTTTCTGTATCATTTGCTGTCTGAATTTCATTTGTTTGATGTATGAGATTGTTCATCCAGTAATACAATATATTGCATGAAATAATTTAGGTATCATTTGAATTCATTGTGATTTTCTGTTTATAGCAACTTCCAGTCTGATGAGCTATGCTTAACATTAAAAACAGGTCAAAACACATAACTAAGAGCAAGAATTTGTAAGTCTTGGGAAAATTATGGCATTGAAAGCTCTCTACACACTTTTATTTCATACTAATTCTATTAACATGACTTAGTCCAGTGCTGAGTAATAAATTTCCTATATGATTTTAAACTCCAACCACTAGAATCTTTCAAGTATTAACAATCCACAGGAACCAACCACCAGTCACCAATATCAGAGCAAAACTTGATGTCATTGGAAAATGATAGGGCTTAGAAGTTTCTGCCTTCTTCTGAGCCCTTCCCTTCCCAGACCTTGCTCTGATAACTGGGATCAGTTCAAGCTCTCCTCTAGGTTGACATCTTTACAGATGGACTCTTTCTCTGTTTCCAGATACAGAATAGAATCCTGATTACATCAAACGAGATCTGGAAAGAAACGTAGATACATCTGAGTCTTCCCTTCGCCCCCACCCCCAACTCCACCTCTCATTTTATTTCAGATCAAAGAGGATTTGGCCTCTGTTAGCTCTGGTTCAATTACATAAATGGGTCACAGATAAATGCTTATATATTTATAAACCAAAATTTAAACTACATTGGTAGATTATCTTTTGTCTACTGTCTTTTTATTGTAACTAAGTTTCAATAAAGAAGAAAGTCGCAGTTTCCCTTACTGGAAGTTCAGTGAAATATGGAAGGATACTGCAGCTGCTACAGGGCCTGGAGGTTGGTGGTGCTCACACTCATGTAGACAAGTATTGCCTAGAAGCACAGCGAGGCCAAAGGTCCATGAGTCATTCTTTGGGTCACTCTAGAAGGCACATGAAGGCAAGGGACTAAGGAGGACATTCTTCATTTCTTCTACACGTATTAACTATTTGAGCTGGACTTTATGCCGTTCAATAGTAAACAAAACACAAAAGTTTGAAGATAACCAAAAATGTCAAATCTAATTCTGTATATTAGTACCAATCCTTTCAGAACCTCAGTTACACTATCTTGTATGTAGAGAAGAAAATGACAATTTTTTTCAGTGTCAGTGAAATGCTTACTATAGTCCATTAGAATATAATAAGTCCAGAATTTGAAAATGTTTCTGTAGAAAAATTGTGTTAACTGTGGTTATATCAGGGGCATGCATGCTACTCAACTAAATTCAGAAAACTGTCAGAACCCATTTATAAAAAGCTAGACACTGTCTTCATTATACAGATAAATATTTCCTTGGGACAACAATATGATTATTTTCAGAGACAAACATGCAAACACAAATGTAAATACTATAATCATCTCCAGCGGGGTTAGAAGAGTATAGGATTATATAAAATAAAATAAGTAATTTAGATGAGGGAAACAGTGTTATAAAACTTGAGACCTGGAAGACTGCTGACAGATAGGAGAGATGTTGCACATTTGTTGGCAGTATCCAATACCATCTTACTGAGGAGGAACAAATCTTGGTTCTCTGTGCTTGGAATATAGCAGTGAATACACACATGTACACACACACACACACACACACACACTTTCTACTGAGTCCATATGAACATTATTAGCATTGCTCATATGAACATGTGTCCAGAATCGATCACTTGGAATTTGATAATTTACACGGGAGCTCTTCCTGGAAGAACTGATTCTCCCTCAAAGCAGCCATTGCCTTCCTGAAGCTCCTCATTTGGAGTGCAATTGTGTGGAATTTCCCATCCATGTTAGCACCGCATCTGGTGCTGCCAATATGCTAATCTTCTCTAGAAAACAATAATGTTGTGGGGTTTGGGGGGGTGTTTTCTCTGTTCTGTCTAGAGGACACTATCTGGAGGCAAGGGTCCTGATGCCCTCTGCATATTACAGTCTT